TGGACAAAAAGACTTTTCAAACATCTTCGAAAAACGTATAAAGATAAGCAATATATACTTATGAGTGATAGCGTGTAGATTCTATGACGTTAACGAGATGTAAGCTTACTGATAACCAAGCGCCGTATAAACCATAACAACAATATAAGCCAAATTAAACAAATGTACTTTGTAAAATTTTGCTGCATCGTCCTTTTCTCTTTTTTTTTCAAGAATCTGTAACGCAATTAAGTAACGCATGAGAGAGTAGATTTTTGCTTTAGCACTTGCAACGATCTAATCTACAATTTTGGCAACGCTCGTACGCTCTCCAATGTCTACGATTCTCCAACTGAGCGATAATTTTGTCGTAGTAGCGTTCAAATTGGTATGCTATATACGAAGCAACATCGAATATCTACTTGGGGTATCTTGGCATCTTGAGTTTTGGTAAGCTTGGTCCTGTCTCTCTCTCTCTCTCTCTCTTTCTCTCTTTCTCACTTTCTCTCTCTCTTTCTTTCCCTATTCTCCTTCGAAATCGCGTTACGCTCGTGTCGAAGAGATACGTATAATTTTACCTTGCTCCTCAAACCTGCGCTGGCACAGCGAGCACTTAGAGTCTCCGAAATCATCGAACTCGTCCTCGTTGACGATATGTCCGTCAGCTGCAACAGAACAGCCCACGATCTTCTTTCCTATCTTTGTCTCTTTTTGTTTTTCTCTTCTCGCACTTTTCTACCGACTCTCTCTCTCTGTTGAAGGGAGAGACAAATCTCCACAGAGCATCTGAAGGCAACGCTTGATCCACTGTGATATCTAGGCTTTATTGAGCCATTTTTACTGTTCCCTCTCGACGAGTTTACATTTTACAAGATATTTTCCAAAAGCCACCCGGTTTCTTTCGAATTCATCTTATAAATCTCCAATAAACCCGTAATAAATTTCCTGTCGTGCAGCAAATGATAATGTCAGTGAGAAAAGAATTATTACGAAAAATTAGCTTGAAATAATTTAGCTCGAATTAAGATTGAAAGAAATAGTGATTGTCACACAAGCAATGCAAGAGTTAGAGTTTGAAAAAACTGATTAATAAAGTAGATAATGTTAAATATTAATATTTCCATACACTTCGCCTGAGTAACTACTTTTACAATGTAGATTTAATTTTTTATTGTCCTAACAATTAATCGCGTGGAAAAAGAAAAGCACGTTTTATCGTTATTCTCTAAATAGATCAAGCATAACCCGCTTTCCGCCATGGTTAAGTCCTTTAGGGCAAAGTGTATTAATTGAACTATGAAGACCAGCTTAGACGATGAACTGGTAATCGAATTGTTTGCATGATATTACACGTATCCAATGTGCTTATTACACGTCTTTTTTCATTTACATTTATAAATGTATGCGCCTGTTGCATTTTTTGGTTTGTAACAATCAAGACAAGAAGTCTGCAACAGGAAAAATATGATAATGCCTGTGAAGTAATCATAGATTGCAAGCAACCGTCGCCGTTAATTCGGCATTTTTGAAATATTGATACGAGACAGGTGTCTATAGCCAAGACATGCTGCAAAGTTCCACGCTCCAAAGTCAAAAGCTTCTCGCACTCCACACCCGAACGACCAGAAAGCGATCTAAAGTCATTAGCTTGCCAGCCAAAAGTCAATATTTTCTCTACACACGTAAGTCCTAATTTCTATGTTAGCAGAAGCTATCGGAAACGAAGGAGAGTTTCCCCGCGAGCTTCCACGGCGAGACGCAACTTTATTTTTGTCACACGGCGCGGCAAAGTGACGCGCGATGAGCTTCGCAATTTCTTCGAATCTCTTCGCCAGTAGTTGCCGATGCCGCGGCAGCGAACGGATCGATTACGAAAGCGCGAGAGGAAAAAGGAAGAACGCCCTTCAAGGACGTTCCTTCCCGATGAAGAGTCATCGTAAATAAGAAAGCCTCACCCCAAAAGCAAACCACGGCGGGCTCAGTTGAAAAGCGAGACAGGATCCAAGGTTGCCAATATGCATCTTGTAGGGCAATCTAGGAAATCTATTCTCGTACACGTGTGTACACTCGTCAAAATACAAATACTACGACGCCAACTAACAAACGGGGGAGGAGATACAATACGGATATTCGATCACCGCTACGTCACATGCACAAGTGACTCTCTTGTGCGTCTATACACAACTATATATGTATTATATATATGTGCTGGTGTGTCGTATCGTGCGTGTAATATTTCACAGCTTTGAATAGACTTTTTTACTGAAAATTTGTTATCCTGACAGAAAAATTCTGTCATCTTCTAGAAAGAAATATAATACATATAGAAAGAAGAAATTTTCAAGGAAAAGCTTTTACAAATGGATGTACTATTTAATGACTAATTTATGATGAATGCCGTTTTCCGAATAAGAGCAATGAAATGATTTACTTTAACATTGCGTTCTATGCACACATATTTAGATTTGCTGCAGGTATACATATATACTTGCTAATCTTAATTAAGAGGATATACAGTTACGTACAGCGAGTTGACCGTGAAAAGAAGATCTCGCGCAAAGAAACCTCAGAAAATGCTTTCTTGTTGAAAGAAAAAAAAAATTTTTTAAAATGAAAGCACGATATTCAGTATAAAACGCCAGCTGCGCTTTAATCTCGCTCAAAGTGTGTTAGGAAATTAAGCACGTTCCATAAAACAAAACAGACAGGGCAACATATGCTGCTACGTATAATTATCATGCGTGCACACTTACCTTTTCATTAAAATTAAGTGCTCTATAAACATCGCTAATCTTATTTAACCAATTGTTTAAAACAAAAAAATTGCGACTAAATTAGATAACGAAACTCAATAAGAAAAAAGAAACTAAAATTGAACTTCGATACAATTTGCTATAAAAAAAATTCATTATTATATCACATTATAATAATAAGCAATTTGGAAGGTTGAAAAATAGATTTTATGTGCCAGATGATGATTCGAATTATTACTTTTTCAATTTACGGATTTCGAGAGAAGGTGAATGTGTGAAATCTTTTTAAAAGATGCTGTTTTGACAATGCCGACACCGGCATCTATTGATCCGCCGGCAGAACGCCGTCAATAGAGACGACGATAGGTTTTATCCCGCATAGAATAAAGGTTCGAAGAATGCAAGCAATTCTTCGCTTCCTCCCCCGCCCCCCCC